AACTGCAGCTCTATTTACAATAGCCAGGACATGGAAGCAACCTAAGTGTCCATCGACAGATGAATAGATAAAGAAGATGTGACATACATATACAATGGAGTATTACCCAGCTATAAAAAGAAATTAAATTGATTTATTTGTAGTGAGGTGGATGGACCTAGAGACTGTCATACAGAGTGAAGTAAGTCAGAAAGAGAAAAATAAATACTGTATGCTAATACATATATATGGAATCTAAAACAAAATGGTTCTGAAGAACCTAGGGGCAGGACAAGAATAAGAGGGAGATGTAGAGAATGGACTTGAGGACATGGGGAGAGGGAATGGTAAGCTGGGAAGTTCTGAGTGAGTGGCATGGACATATATACACTGCCAAATGTAAAATAGATAGCTAGCTGGAAGCAGCCGCATAGCACATGGAGATCAGCTTGGTGTTTTGTGTCCACCTAGAGGGGTGGGATAGGGAGGCTGGGTGGGAGATGCAAGAGGGAGGAGATATGTGGGTATATGTTTATGTATAGCTGATTCACTTTGTTATACAGCAGAAACTAACACACCATTGTAAAGCAATTATACTCCAATAAAGATGTTAAAAAAATATGTACAGCTGCATGTAAAGGATGTTTTAAAACATCTATCATGCCATTCTGTGTGTGTATGTGTACAGATATGGAATTAAACACATAAGAATATATAAAAAATAAGTCACATGCACCCCAATGTTCATTTCAGCACTATTTACAATAGCCAGGTCATGGAAGCAACCTAAATACCCATCAACCGACAAATGGTTAAAGAAGATGTGGTACATATATAAAATGGAATATTACTCAGTCATAAAAAGGAACGAAACTGGATCATTTGTACTGACGTGGATGGACCTAGAGACTGTCATACAGAGTAAAGTAAGTCAAAAAGAGAAAAACAAATATCGTATATTAATGCATTTATGTGGAATCTATTAAAATGGTACGGATGCACCGGATTGCAAGGAAGAAATAGAGACAGAGATGTAGAGAACAAACATATGGATACCAAGTGGAGAAAGCAAGGGTGGTGGGGTGGTGGTGGGATGAATTCGAAGATTGGGATTGACATATATACACTAATATGTATAAAATAGATAACTAGTAAGAATCTGCTGTATAAAAAATAAATAAATTAAATTAAATTTAAAAAAATAAGGATGATTGTCCATGACATACATCATAATGGACTACTGTGAAACATCTTGAAAGAGGAAATATAGTGATCTTGGGTCCTTGTCCTAATTAAGAACAGCAATGAGACTCATGACTCACTATGAGTAAGGCAAGAATTTCTGAGTTCTTCACCCATCCACCTATCTGTCCTTAGTGACCAAAAATTTTTTAGATAGCTAGCTGTAAGGAATGCTGTCTATAATGACACTACCTTGTCCACACAGGAATTGAAACTGCTACTTGGTCCTCACCAATACCATGTGCTAAATATCTATTAATAAACTCGTGAAAACAAAAGTCAACCTGGACAGCAGGACTGACTTGATTATTCCCATAAATCTAAGAAAATAAGTGACAGATTAAATAACCCAGACCCTGTCATAAACTACATCTCAGAACAGAAATGATCAAGGGAAGAAGTATGTGTGATTGTGTTACAAGCTGAACTACTGAATATTTCATGGGCAATATTTTTACTTAGAAGAATGACTGATGAGACAAACTGTAGTTATTCAACTTGGGTATCTGGCAGGCATTTTATTTAAAATCAACAAAGTAAGCCTATCAATTCAAAGATAAAGCAACTGATGTTAGTTGTTAGCAATGATAAAATTGAGCTTTCAATTGAATATTAGAATTTTAAACTCATCTATCACTGTGCATTTGACAGCTTATCAATACTCAATAATTTTTATGATGAAATTGATGATATTAACTAATGCCATTTTTTGGTGTTGTAAAATAAAACATGTAAATATTTGGAAAGATCTACATATACAGTGAACCAATATTTTCCAACTGAGCAATGCACAAAGATACAAAATTGTGTATGAGCAAAACATATATTCACAGCACACAAGAGACTTATGGATTTTAATATTACTGAATATTCAAAATTTCACTGATATGGTTTTGGACTCCACTTCTCTAGTTGTGGTGTATTTCAAAGAATATCCACAATTATCTGAAAAATCTATGGAAATTCTCTTTTTCCAACCACCTATATGTGAGAAGTCAGCTTTTACTCATATACTTCAACCTAAACAACATATGGCAACAGGTTGAATGCAGAAGCCGATATGAGAATCCAGCTGTTTTCCATTAAGCAAGATGGAAAATTGTTATTTTCACTAAAATTTGTTTCTTATATTAATATCTAATAGTTTTCTTACTTTTTAAATGAAGTAATAAATATTTTAAATTTTTTGGTTTTAATTTCTAATACATCATACATTGAATGACACAATCCAACTAAGTAAAAGCTTTTGGGGTCTTCAATGTTAAAGAGTATAAAGACATCCTGAGACCAAAATGTTTAAGAACCACTGTTCCAGGCACTTATTAGTGCCACAGCAACTCATATAGAGAAACTCACCTCATTTTCTTTAGGATTTGGAATGTATGGCTGCAATGGTTCTATTTGGACTTCAGCCTGAATCGAATGAAATACTTCATCATTATCTGATGATTCATCTTCCTTTTCCTTGAAACAAAAAGGAAAATAAATATTTTACTTGTTGTTAAACTGTAAATAATATGAGCCATTCCCATCATCTTAATGTTCAATTAAAAAAATAATTTTCAAATATTCAAATTGATTTAAGCCTGTAGTTTCTAATAGTTTCTGGTCCTGGATCCCTTTCAGAATCTGAGTAATGCTACAGATTCTTTGTAGAAAATTGCATACAGGCAGACACATATCTCTGCAAGTATTTTCAGGGGGATCACTGGCCACCTGCAACTCACCTATTAAACCCAGGTTAAAAATCTCTGGTCTAAAGCTTAACTCATAGCCGCAAACTGTCATATTTAATAAGCGGTTATAGCTACAAAGTTTGGTCCTCCTGTGCAGTGGAAGATCTGCAACACAGCAGTGCAAATATTTCTTCTTGATTGAGTCCTAGTAGTTTAGGAAAGTTTCTGTTTTCCCATTTAAGCCAACTGATATTTCTTCAACTCAAACAGAATAATGGGAATGTGTTTTCTTTCCTTCTAGTGAGTTGAAGCACTCACATATGTCTTTAAACTCTAATAAATTTTCAGGTATTTCAAAAGACCTATGACTTTGACTAGAACATCAATAATTTTCTTTTTCTTTATGTTTTCTTTAAGAGTTACACATAAAGGCAGGAATGCCTATACAAGATCCTAGGATCATGGGATTATTAACTATTATTTAGTGACTTTTTCTTCCATTTTAGAATGGCTTCTCACATAAATATTTAAAACACTGAATGCCAATAAGTATGGGTCATGCTACTAATACTATGAGTCTTGCAGAAATGCATAAAAGTCTTTTTAAAAAATGCAAAGCCCATTAGATCCAATTGTTACTAAGGCTCATTGGGAATAGTCATTAGCATTTTAGATGCCTTAATGTCAGGCAAATAGTAGCATTCTAGACTCATGCCACCCTTTCTCTATTTGGTTTCTTTTGCTTCTTATCTTCCTGTTTTTGGGGGGACTAGACATTCATTTCCCCTTTTGGGTCTTTCTTTTCTTGTTGCTTTTACCTTTTCTCATGTTAAACATGTCAGGGAAATAGTATTTGCTCAATTAACTCAATGGACAAAAACCAAAAGTCTCCCTTATTCAGACATTCAGACAAGGTTCACTTGTAATAACTACATTAATTATTATTAGGTAAATGGATGTTGATACCAGGGTTTAATTTAGGATCTTCACAATGATTCCTTTTATGTAAATGGATGCTATGAAGTATTAGGAAACAACTGCTCTCCTGGTCTTTTTGACCTCTATAATTTGCTTACAAAGCCCACAAACCCTTCAGGATCAGATTAGATTTGCCAGATTGTATCCATGAACTCCAGCCCAATTATATCCATTTATATTAGAGAATTTTGAAAGAATGAAGTTTTGTTGACTAAACCAAAATAAGATAAATAAATTAACATATTGTACCCCACACTTCAAAAGAGTGCAGAGATGAATTTGTAACTTGTGTCATGTTCTATGCAGGTACTTCATCAATTATGTAAAATGAGTGAAAAATAAGTGAGACAAGTCATACTTATGGTAACCATGTACAAAATGTTTTAGAAAATGCTTTTCCTTCTCAGTTTGACCTTTAACATCCTGATGTACAAAAGCTGGTGCAATTCTCTTAAATAATACATTCAGCATTCTATGGGAAGGAAGAGCAAAATAAACTTAGAAGTTGGAGGAACAAAATCAAATTTGTTTTTGTGTTTAGTTTTAATGAGTTATATTTGAAATTTTGACCTATGGAAGTAATTTTTTTTTTTTTTGCTGTATGCGGGATGCACAGGCTCAGCGGCCATGGCACATGGGCCAAGCCGCTCCGCGGCATGTGGGATCTTCCCGGACCAGGGCACGAACCCATGTCCCCTGCGTCGGCAGGCGGACCCACAACCACTGTGCCACCAGGGAAGCACTGAAAGTAATTTTTAAAGATCCAGTATAGCAACTTTAAATGTGCATATGACATCCCTTTATTGGCTAAGGGAATAATAGGTAGAAATTTAGCTAATAATTAAAGCTATATCTCTACAGAGATATTAAGCAATTACCTGGGTCATTCAAGCAAATTTTTCTTTCTCAAATTTAGTCACAATTATCTGGAAATTTCAGGATAATTTATCTGAAGCACAAGTTATTTAGATAATCTTCTCTGGGACACAAGGAATATTTATTTCATTTGGTTTTTACAGAGGAAACACTTGAGTATGAACTAGCATATTTTCTCTGCATATTTGACTTAGGAAAAATATCAGAAACTCTTACATTTGCAACTTGTCTCAATTCTTCTTCATGCTGATTAAAGATATCCTCCCATCTGCGTTGGCGCCTTTGCCTATGGGCTTCTAAATCTGATAGCTCAAACTCTTCAGGTCTGCGTGACAACTTTGCCCGGAACCTCTTTGGTGATAGTCTTTTTGCCAATGCCTGCCTTAGACTAGAAACTTTTGATTTTTTCTTCCGTGCTTGTTCTGGTTGAGAGTAAAACACGTCTGATGACAGGTTTTCCATCAGGATTTGCAGTAGACCAAGCGGCTTTGAGTTATGTGAGTTTGGTGCTCGAAGTAAGTCTCTTGATAGTCCCTCTATCAGTGCTTGAACAGAGCCAACTGCCTGCGTGGGCTCTAGTGCCCAGGGCTGTGCTTGAGGTGACCGTTCATTTTGCCCCTCTACTGGAATGAGCACCTGAGTATCCAAATGTAGTGGCAACAGCACGTGGTGGTTCTGTGACAGTAGGGGCAGGAATACCTGGGCATGTACTCGTAATGACTCAGGTTCCTCTGCCTCTGTCTCTGCCTGTGTAGGCTCAGCAGCCTGTTCCTGTACCTCTGGCTGCTCGGGTGCCCTGTTCTGCTCCAGCTGCTGTTCAGGTACCTGGTTCTGTCTCTGCTGTTGTTCAGGGACCTGGCCCTGCCTTTGCTGTTGTTCAGGTACCTGATCTTGCCCTTGAACTTCCTCTGGTACCTGGTCCAGATCCTGCAGCTCTCCTGAGGCCTGGGGCTGGGCCTGAGCCTGCTGCTCTTTGGGTACCTGGGCCTGTACCTTTAGAGGCCTAGGGGCCTTAACCTGAGCCTGTAGTGGCATAAGCATCCAGGCTGTCCTCCGTAGTCGTGGAGGTGCCTTCATCTGCATCTGTAGGGGCCTAGATGCCTTAGCCTTAACCTGAGCCTGTAGTGGCATGAACACCCGAGCTGCCCCCTGTAGTCGCTGAGGTGCCTGGGCTTGCCCCTGTAGAGGCCTAGGTGCACTGTCATGAGCCTGTAGTGGCATGAACACCCTGGCTGCTCCCTGGAGATGCTGAAGGGCCTGAACCTGTGGCTCTTCTCGATCAGGTAACCACCTTGGCTGAGAGGGTTCTCCATGCAGGACTCTAAGTGGTCTGCATCTACTGCTCGTAGGCAATCTCAGAAGCTCATGAGTACAAGAAGGTCCCCTAGAAATAAACAAACAAATGAATGCTGTACAATTAGAGTTCTCAGTAGAGTGAAGTCATTCAGGGGAAATGCTTTTATTTTAAAAGATGAACATTTTCTGCAATAAAGGTATCTTCAGTAAATCTTTCTTGAATCATTCCTGTAATGTCTGAAAGTCTTTGCATTACTAATATATTCAGTACAAATGGTCTAATAATATACTTGATCATTCTATTACCAGAAATTAAGGACTCTTTGGGTAGTAATAAAAACTTTTCCTCAACATTTCCACTCAAATATCTCTTGCAAATACAGATCTGTTTTTATTTTATCAGAAAGGATTAAGTTTTCTGAGTCACATATAACAGTATGGAATCAACTGTCTTACATGAATTGCTAACATCAAATTATATATGTAATATGTCTAACGCACCTGAATCTTCTCATGGTATACTGCTCCTTAATAGCTTCTTCTCTTTCAAAGATCAGAGGTATTCCTTTTTATGAAAGAGGAAAAAAATGCATAACAGTCAACAGAGATTAAGATAATCCACCTTAGTCAACGTGCACCCTTTACTGCTCAGGAAGCTGAGTGAATTTATAAGGACAAGAGGACTGTAACCCTTCACATAACGCCTAGTTGGTGATGTAGACAATATCCTTGTTCCTAGGCCTACTTCTGCAGCACGGTGCATCTATTCCATAGAGACTAATTTCTCTCAGCATAGGAAAAAATATTTAGCAACCTGATTGCTGCAATTCTAAAGAGGAAAAATTGAGAAAGGTAAAAAGAGAAAGGGCCAAGAGAAACTAGATGGTTGGTGAGCATGGCTTACAGGTGTGTACTCTGGATTTAAGGACTTTATGGCTTGGGCTCACACCTATCTTTTGTCCTTTCAATGAGAAGGTAAAAATCTAAATTCTGGGTTTTACACTTGACACACTGAAAATGTTTGGCATCTTTCCTGTCAGCTGTGCAGTACTGAAATATAGAAGCTTAAAAATAAAAGACTTTTCTTTTGAATTTCCTATATTAAAGACTTTGGGAATGCGGCCCCCACTTTTCATGCATCGCCTCAGGGACTTCTATAGCCTCATGAAGAAGCTCAGGGTAAAGGCACAGCTTCCAAAGCAGGAGTAAGAGATACTTGACACCAGGAGGGAGATCCCAAAGAGGCCGCAGCTGCAGGAGGTGGGAGTCCTGGTCACTGTTGGCCTTCCCTGAGGGCTTCGACTGGGTCCCTCAGGATGTGCACCGGCTGAGCACCACCCGCCTCATGGACCCATCCTGCCTCACGTCACCAAACCAGTCGCCCTGTTGCCAAAATGAGCTAAAGTCTGAAAATTGCTCAGCAGGACCAGGCATAGCACGAGCCTCCTATCTTGTGGTTTCACTTGCCAAGGACCACTATCTAAATAATTCCGTGTGGCTGACAGGGTCTTGGTGCTCCAGTCAGGTGTCAGGCCTGAGGCTCTGAGTGGGAGAGCTGAGTTCAGGACATTGGACGACTGGAGACCTCACGGCCCCACGTAATATCAATCAGTGAAAGCTCTCCCAGAGATCTCCATCTCAATGCTAAGACCCAGCTCCACCCAACAGCCAGCAAGCTCCAGTGCTGGACGCCCCATGCCAAACAACTAGCAAGACAGGAACACAACACCAGCCATTAGCAGAGAAGCTGCCTAAAATCATAATAAGTTCACAGCCATCCCAAAACACACCACCAGATGTGGCCCTGCCCGCCTGAAAGACAATATCCAACCTCATCCACCAGAACACAGGCACCAGTCCCCTCCACCAGGAAGCCTACACAACCCACTGAATCAACCTCACCCACGGGGGGCAGACACCAAAAACAACAGGAACTGTGAACCTCTAGCCTGTGAAAACGAGACCCCAAACACAGTAAGTTGGGCAAAATGAGAAGACAGAGAAATACACAGCAGATGAAGGAGCAAGGTAAAAACCCACCAGACCAAACAAATGAAGAGGAAATAGGCAGTCTACCTGAAAAAGAATTCAGAATAATGATAGTAAAGATGATACAAAATCTTGGAAATAAAATATACAAGAGAGGACGAGGGGAAGATGGCGGAAGAGTAAGATGCGGAGATCACCTTCCTCCCCACAGATACACCAGAAATACATCTACATGTGGAACAACTCCTACAGAACACCTACTGAACACTGGCAGAAGACCTCAGACCTCCCAAAAGGCAAGAAATTCCCCACGTACCTGGGTAGGGCAAAAGAAAAAAGAATAAACAGACACAAAAGGATAGGGAATGGGACCTGCATCAGTGGGAGGGAGCTGTGAGGGAGGAAGGTTTCCACACACTAGGAAGCACCTTCGCGGGCGGAGACTGCTGGTGGCAGAGGGGGAAAGTTTCGGAGCGACGGAGGAGAGCGCAGCAACAGGGGTGCGGAGGGCAAAGCGGAGAGATTCCTGCACAGAGGATCGGTGTCGACCGGCACTCACCAGCCCGAGAGGCTTGTCTGCTCACCCGCTGGGGCGGGCGGGGCTGGGGGCTGAGGCTCGGGCTTCGGTCAGAGCACAGGGAGAGGCCTGGGGCTGGCGGCGTGAACACAGCCTGCAGGGTGCTAGTACACCACGGCTAGCCGGGAGGGAGTCTGGGGAAAAGGCTGAACCTGCAGAAGAGGCAAGAGACTTTTTCTTCCCTCTTTGTTTCCTGTTGCGCGAGGAGAGGGGATTAAGAGCGCTGCTTAAAGGAGCTCCAGAGATGGGCGCGAACCGCGGCTAAAAGCGCGGACCACAGAGACGTGCATGAAATGCGAAGGCTGCTGCTGCCACCACCAAGAAACCTGTGTGCGAGCACAGGTCACTATTCACACTCCCCTTCGGGGGAGCCTGTGCAGCCCGCCACTGCCAGGGTGCCAGGATCTAGGGACAACTTCCCCGGGAGAACGCACTGCGCGCCTCAGGCTGCTGCAACGTCACGCAGGCCCGCCCCGCACTCCATGCCACTCCCTCCCCCCCGCGGCCTGAGTGAGCCAGAGTCCCCGAAGCAGCTGCTCCTTTAACCCCGTCCTGTCTGAGGGAAGAACAGACGCCCTCCAGAGACCTACATGCAGAGGCGGGGCCAAATCCAAAGCTGAACCCCGGGAGCTGTGCGAGCAAAGAAGAGAAAGGGAAATCTCTCCCAGCAGCCTCAGAAGCAGTGGATTAAAGCTCCATAATCAACTTGATGTACCCTGCATCTGTGGAATACATGAATAGACAACAAATCATCCCAAATTGAGGAGGTGGACTTTGGGAGCAAGATTTATGATTTTTTCCCCTTTTCCTCTTTATGTGAGTGTGTATGTGTATGCTTCTGTGTGAGATTTTGTCTGTATAGCTTTGCTTCCACCATTTGTCCTAGGGTTCTATCTGTCCGTTTTTTAAAATTATTATTTTTTCTTAATAAGTATTTTTTATTTTAATAACTTTATTTTATTCTACTTTATCTTCTTTCTTTCTCTCTTCCTTCCTTCCTTCATTTCTTTCTTTCTTTCTTTCTTTCTTTCTTTCTTTCCTTCCTTCCTTCCTTCCTTCCTTCCTTCCTTCCCTTCTTTAGACAACGAATCACCCAAATTGAGGAGGTGCACTTCCAGAGCAAGATTTAGGATTTTTTCCCCTTTTCCTCTTTTTGTGAGTGTGTATGTGTATGCTTCTGTGTGAGATTTTGTCTGTATAGCTTTGCTGCCACCATTTGTCCTAGGGTTCTACCATCTGTTTATTTTTATTCTTAATAATTAATTTCTATTTTAATAACTTTTTTATATTTTATCTTACTTTATTTTATCTTCTTTCTTTCTTTCTTTTCCTTCCTTCCCTCCTTCCTTCCTCCCTCCCTCCTTTCATTCTTTCTTTCCTTCTTTCTTTCTTTCTTCCTTTCTTTCTACTTCTACTAATTGTTTCTTTCTACATTTCCTTCCTTTTATTCTGAGCCAGGTGGATGAAAGGCTCTTGGTGCTGCAGCCAGGAGTCACTTCTGTGCCTCTGTGGTGGGAGAGCAAACTTCAGGACACTGGTCCACAAGAGACCTCCTAGCTCCACATAATATCAAATGGCGAAAATGTCCCAGAGATCTCCATCTCAACACCAGCACCCAGCTTCACTCAACGAGCAGCAAGCTACAGTGCTGGACACCCTATGCCAAATAACTAGCAAGACAGGAACACAACCCCACCCTTTAGCAGAGAGGCTGCCTAAAATCATAATAAGTCCACAGAAACCCCAAAACACACCACCAGACGTGGACCTGACCACCAGAGAGACAAGATCCAGCCTCATCCACCAGAACACAGGCACTAGTCCCCTCCACCAGGAAGCCTACACAACCCACTGAACCAACCTTAGCCACTGGGGACAGACACCAAAAACAACGGGAAATACGAACTTGCAGCCTGCAAAAAGGAGACCCCAAACACAGTCAGATAAGCAAAATGAGAAGACAGAAAATACGCAGCAGATGAAGGAGCAAGATAAAACCCCACTAGACCTAACAAATGAACAGGAAATAGGCAGTCTACCTGAAAAAGAATTCAGAATAATGATAGTAAAGATGATCCAAAATCTTGGAAATAGAATAGACAAAATGCAAGAAACATTTAACAAGGACCTAGAAGAACTAAAGATGAAACAACCAATGATGAACAACACAATAAATGAAATTAAAAATACTCTAGAAGGTATGAATAGCAGAATAACTGAGGCAGAAGAACGGATAAGTGACCTGGAAGATAAAATAGTGGAAATAACTACTGCAGAGCAGAATAAAGAAAAAAGAATGAAAAGAACTGAGGACAGTCTCAGAGACTTCTGGGACAATATTAAATGCACCAACATTCTTATTATAGGAGTTTCAGAAGAAGAAGAGAAAAATAAAGGGACTGAGAAAATATTTAGTTGAAAATTTGCCTAATATGGGAAAGAAAATAGTTAATCAAGTCCAGGAAGCACAGAGAGTCCCATACAGGATAAACCCAAGGAGAAACACGCCAAGACACATATTAATCAAACTGTCAAAAATTAAATACAAAGGAAACATATTAAAAGCAGCAAGGGAAAAACAACAAATAACACACAAGGGGATCCCCAGAAGGTTAACAGCTGAACTTTCAGCAGAAACTCTGCAAGCCAGAAGGGACTGGCAGGACATATTTAAAGTGATGAAGGAGAAAAAACTGCAACCAAGATTACTCTACCCAGCAAGGATCTCATTCAGATTTGATGGAGAAATTAAAAACTTTACAGAGAAGCAAAAGCTGAGAGAGTTCAGCACCACAAAATCAGCTTTACAACACATGCTAAAGAAACTTCTCTAAGCAAGAAACACAAAAGAGGGAAAAGACCTACAATACCGAGCCCAAAGCAATTAAGAAAATGGGAATAGGAACATACATATCGATATTTACCTTAAATGTAAGTGGACTAAATGCTCCCACCAAAAGACACAGATTGGCTGAATGGATACAAAAACAAGACCCATA